GGTTACCAGGGTGGGGAGGGAGGGTGAGGGTTATTCACTAACTAGAGACAGCAGACAAGAATTATCTTAGGTGAAGGGAATGACAGCACATACTACAGGGGAAGTCAGCAAAACTGGACTAAACCAAAGCTAAGAAGTTTCCTGAATACAAACACTTCGAGGGACGGAGTAGCAGCGGTGGGGTCTGGGAATCATGCTTTCAGGGGACATCTAGGTCAGCTGGCATAACAAAGTTTAATAAGAAATGTTCTGCATCCCACTTGGTGAGTGGTGTCTGGGGACTTGAAAGCTAGCAAGCGGCCATCTAAGATGCATGAATTGGTCCCAACCCACCTGGAGAAAAGGAGAACGAAAAACACCAGAGACACAAGGGAAGTATTAGCCCAAGAGACAGCCAACTCTTCAGACAAAGATTGGACTGGACTGTGGGACATAAAATGATACTCGTGAAGCGTGTGCTTCTTAGCTTAAGTAAATGCATGAGACTAAATGGGCAGTTTCTGCCTGGAGGTGAGATGAGAAGGCAGAGAGGGTGAGGAGCTGGTTGACTGGACACAGGAGATCAGGGGTGGAAAGGAGGAGTGTGCTGTCACAGTATAGGGAGAGCAATTAGGGTCACGTAACAATGTATGTATAGATTTTTGTATGAGAGACTAACTTGATCATAAAATTTCACTTAAAGCACAACAATTAAAAAAAAAAAAACCTACCACTAGAAGAAAATCTTTGTTACCCTGGGTTATGCAAAGATCTCAATATGATACCAAAAGTACAATCTATAAAATAAAAAAATGATAAACTGGACTTCATCAAAATTAAGAACTTATCTTCAAAAGATAAGTTTTAACATATTAAGTCTTAACATATTAAGAGAATGTAAAGATAGGTCAGAGACTGTGAGAAAACATATGCAAAACACATATTTGATAAAGAGCTTGCATCCAAAATACAACTCTCAGAACTCAGTAATAACACAGTAAAAAAAAAGAGCAAAAGATCAGAACAGTTAATGAAAAAAGATATATGTGGATGACAAATAATCACATGAAAAAATGTTCAATATCATTAGTCATTAGGGAAATGCAAATTAAAACCACAATGAAATGCCATTCCATACCTATGTGAATGGCTAAAATAAATTTTAATATGACAATACAAGCATGTGGAACATGACTGAATGCATTTGCCAAAACACACAGTACTGTATACTAAAAAAGGTTATTTTGCTATATATAAATTATACCCTAAATTTGTTTAAGTACTGAGTAACCACCATGTGCCACAGGCTTTGAGCCTAGGCACTTGGGAAAAAAACAGGAATAATTACTACCTTGCTCTCAATGAGTTGACTCATGGATGGGAATCCCCAAGAACCTACAGATTATTCACATGTACAACTAAAATTTCCTGCAGTGTAATTTTCAAAATTAGATGTTTCAAAAGAAAGAATTAAACTCAGATTCAAGTCCATCTCAGTTAGGACAGCACAAGCAGGAAAATCTATCCCTAAGCACTTACCCTGAAGAGCTCTGAAGAACAGATTTGACGAGCATGTAAGATGAAATCTAATATAGTTGGGTGAGTGAAAAAGAGAGTGGTAGTCACTGAGAGACATTATACCCTGGGTCCTCATATTTCTAATAAACATCACTTATACCTTAATGAAATGGACCAGCAGCTAGTAGACACTTATTGAGCACTTAGTCTGGGTCTAGCACTGTGCTAAAAGATTTATAAGCAATTATCTCATTTAATTCTCCCAAAAGCCTTATGATGATGGTAATGGTTTTAAAAAATGTCCACAATTCTTTGATACCCCTCCTCTTAAGAAAAGAGGTGGAGTCTAATTCTCCTTTGAGTGTGGGCTGGATTTAGTGACTGGCTTCTAACAAACAGTATGTGACTTTGGTGACTAGGTCATAAAAGGCACTACAGCTTCCTCTCATTCAGTCTCTCTTGATCACTCACTCTGAGGGAAGTTAGCTGCATGTTGTGAGGAGATTCAACTAGCTTAAAGAGAGGGGCCCATGCAGCAAGAAACTGAAGCTTCCTGCGAAGAACCAGCAAGGAACTGAAGCCTTCTGCTAACAGCCCTATGAGTGAGCCATCTTGGAAGCAGATTCACTGGCCAAAGTGAAGACTTCAGGTGACTACACTCACATGAGAGATCACAAGCCACAACTATCGGCTAAGCTGCTCCAAAATTCCTTACCCACAGAAACTGTAAAATAATAAATGTTTGTTGCTCTAAGCCATTAAGTTTTGGATTAGTTTTTTATGCAGCAATATGATCCTATTATTACTCCCATTTATTCAGTTTCTACAAGGAAACTGAATAAAGCTCTAAGAGGTTCAGCAACTTGCCTAAGGTCACAGAGCTGGTAATAGTCATAGAGTTAGGTTCAGATCCAGTGATCCAAAGGCCCACACTGTCAAACACCATGTTATACTGACTATGAGGTTAAAACCATTATTCTTTGACAGCAATCAAACCCACCACACACTAGTGTTTTTAATTAACTTAGTCCTAGCATCATCATCCACCATGTGTCTGTCAGTTTGTCGTACTATGGTGGCTTGTGTGTTGCTGAGATTTTGGAAGCTTTGCCACCACTATTTCAAATACCAGCAGGGTCACCCTTGGTGGACAGGTTTCAGCAGAGCTTCCAGACTAAGACAGACTAGGAAGAAGGACCTGGCAGTCTACTTCTGAAAAAACTGGCCAGTGAAAACCTTATGAATAGCAGTGGAACACTGTCTGATAATAGTGCCAGAATATGAGCCCCTCAAGCTGGAAGGCACTTGTCATGGGTTGAATTGGGTCCCCCAAAAATATCTGTCAACTTGGCTGGGTCATGATTCCCAGTATTGTAGGACTGGGTACCATTCTGTAATCTGATGTGATTTCCTATGACGTAATAAGATGGATTAGAGTTATACAACATTGGATAGTGTCTTAAGCCAATCTCTTTTCAGATATAAAAGAGAGAAGTGAGCAGAGACACATGGGAACCTCATATACCACCAAGAAAGCAGTGCCGGAAGCAGAGCAAGTCCTTTGGACCTGAGGTTCCTGTGCAGAGATGCTCCCAGACCAAGGGAAGACTGATGCACCACAAGGACCTTCCTCTGGAGCCGACAGAGACAGAAAGCCTTCCCCTGGAGCTGACACCCTGAATTTGGATTTGCAGCCTACTAGACTGTGAGAGAATAAATTTCTCTTTGTTAAAGCCATCCACTTGTGGTATTTCTGTTATAGCAGCACTAGATGACTAAGACAGCACTCAAAATATAACTGGGGAAGAGCTGTAAAGGATTTCATTTTACTTGGCTCCACAATCAATGCCCATGGAAGCAGCAGTCAAGAAATCAAATGACGCACTGCGTTGGGCAAATCTGCTGCAAAAGCAAAAATGTCACTTTGAGGACAAAGGTGCGCCTGACAACCCATGGTATTTTCAATTGCCTCATATGCACGTGAATGCTGGACAATGAATAAGGAAGACTGCAAAAGAATTGATGCCTTTGAATTGTGGTGCTGGCGAAGAATACTGAATATACTATGGACTGCCAAAAGAACAAATCTGTCTTGGAAGAAATACAGCCAGAATGCTCCTTAGAAGGATGGCAAGACTACGTCTCACATACTTTGGACATGTTATCAGGAGGGACGAGTTCCTGGAGAAGGACATCGTGCTTGGTAGAGGGTCACTGAAAAAGAGGAAGACCCTCAACAAGATGGACTGACACAGTGGCTGCAACAATGGACTCAAGTATGACAACGATTGTGAGGATGGCGCAGGACCAGGCAGTGTTTCGTTGTTTTACACAGGGTCACTATGAGTCAGAACTGACTCAACGGCACCTAACAACAACAGCATCATTATTATATGGTAATTCAGTTCAATTCTACAAACCTCAAATTCAGAAACTTACCTACTACAATAAAGTTTCCACAATTAGATACACATGCTGAGGATTCAATTCTATCTCCCAAAATCTGTTCCCATTTCACCTTCCCAGAATAAAGGTCAACTGCCTTCATTCTATGAGAATGGGAGCCAATGTACACAGTTGCAGATGACTTATCAATAGCTGGTACTACAACCAGAGGTGAAGCATCAACACATTTGCCTGTGTCTGACCTCCACCTCACACGTAACTCCAGTTTCTCAGCCCCTATTACAGGTTTCTCCTCTTCAGAAACTTTTGCAACAAAGGATGGCTTCTCTGACTTCTCAATGATCGGTGGGGGATTTATGCTTTTCACATTTTGAATATTAATCTGTGAAGTTAAATCAGAAGAACAGGCTGAAGGGCAATGTCCTGACTTAGTTAAAAACCTGGTAGTATTAAGAGACAAAATCTGACTCCCTCTGTTCAGCGCAATAAAAGCATTTATCGCGTTGTCACAATTTAAAGGCATTCCACATTTCTGATGAGAAGATTTTCCATCGGCTTCCTCTTGATTAATGTCACTGAATTTTCTTTTTGTGGCATAACTCTTGCTGAGTGGTAGGTCTTCATCTGCAAACACTGTTTGAAGGATGTGACTGTAAATCTCTAAGATGGAACTGCTGAGAATAATTTCCAGAAGCCCAGGTACTGATACGCCAACAAGATTTTCAATCTCACTGAGGAGTCGTATGGACTTTAAGGAATCTCCACCACTAGGTAAGAACAATGACTCTTTAGGAATCATCGAAGGATCTTCTGAAAGACTCAGAACAGACTACAGAAGAGAGAAGGGAAAAATATGGTGAAGTAGAGGCCCAAAAACTTCAACATGTACAGGTAATATATAGAGATGGTAGTATCTACCTCAAGCATATGAACATAAGACATACAAAATAAATATTTTTAATAATTAAAACTTAAAACTATTATTGTCTTACACACTACAGAAGACTATCACTATACTAAAAATTTTGCCACAAACTTACACTATAACTGCAAAATATGTCTCCCTTCAAAGCAGTTTTCCTACCCATAAAATAGAGAATGGAGTTATAAAAACATCAGATTTACTAACTATACAGCCCACAAAATACTAATACATGGCATTTCTTTACTATGGGAATAATATTTATCTTCTTCGGCTACACATAAATCAAAATTACTTCCAAAAAATCTAAAAAGTACGTGGATAAGACTTTTATCTAAATATTCTCCATTTTCAGACAAGACAATTACATCCTCTTTTCAGAACCCTTTATAAAAGAAAAATCCACGTTTTATTATTTAAAAAAATAGTCTACAGGAGTAATAACATATTTATGTATATTTAAAGTTACAAATTATCTTTGAAAATAGAATTCAGTGTGCCTATCTGTTGGGATAAGACTCTTTTCTGAGATATACTACTTAAAGAGGTCAAAAAGTAAGTTCAATTTATTTCTATGACTACAAAATCTGAGTTATCACAAGAATTAGTCTTGTCAGTTTATGAAAACTGCTAGTTTTTTTTTTTTTTTTTGACAATGGTGGGAAAACAAGACTTCCAGAACGCCAGAAACTAGAGGCAGAAGTATCATTCATGAATACTTGAGTTATTACTCTGCTTTCTCCCGTCCAAATGAGGGACATGGTCTTGCCAGTGGGGAGCCACATTCAAGAACAGGAAAACCAAAACCGAAACCAAATCCCCTGCCACTGAGTTGATCCTGACTTATAGCGACCCTGTAAGACAGAGTAGAACTGCCCATAGGGTTCCCAAAGCTGTAAATCTTTACAGAAGCAGACTGCCACATCTTTCTCTTGTGGAATGGCTGGTGCATCTGAACTGCTGATCTTTCAGTTAGCAGCTGAGTGCTTTACCATTGCATTACCAGGGCTCCTTAGGAAAGTCCAGTGGTTGTAAAAATTCCCTGAAGCAGAGGCATATATGTTATTACTGAAAGTGCTTGTGGAATAATGATGCAGGCCCTAAGGAGCCCTGGTAAGGAGCCCTGTTATAAGATAATGTGACAAAGCAAGATTTGGCTATTTCCTCAGCTCTGAAAAGAGTGTCACTGCACTTCATTGCCCCTTTTAGGGAAAGCCTATGCCAGTATAGGCATTGTCTCCTTGTACCTTTTATGACTACCTCGCTTCCAATAAATGTCTTTATTGGGAGCTTAATCTAATCTTACAATACAGAACCTAATGCTTATTTTAATACAAATTGAATAAATGATGCTATACCACCTACCATCTGGGCACAATAAAATTCTCAGGAAAATGTATCAAACTTACATGGGATGCTTCTGTTTCCAAGATATCAAATGACCTCTTTACAACAAATCAGTATCTTAAAAATTGTACCTTCCACAAATGCTGTAATTTTCCCCAAAGTTCTTCTTTTCCATTTAGCTTACAATCAGACTTCAAGTTCATGTAGTTCAAATAAATCTTGTTTAACTCTGAAACATCAATTTTGCCTTAATATAAAAGATAAATGACTGTAATTTCAGCTCAAAGTCTTTACATTTTCACTAGTCACAAGAATACACACATTTTTCATTTTAAAGATTAGATTTACTATAGAATAAAAGAGTTTGTCATAGATAATCAATTGTAAAGTAGACCCATGCTGCCAAGAATGTAGCAAACAATAAATAAGCAGAAAGGAAGGGAGGAGCTAATGTTATCTCATTTAAAAGGCTAAAGAAACAGCACCGTTAACTAAGTAATTACTACATTTTGTAGTAAATATTAAATAAAGATGAAAACAGGAATGCAATATAATATGGCAATTAAGAGCATAAATTTTGAAGTCAAACAGTCCTAGACAGAATTTCAACTCTATTACTACCTAGCAATGTGATTTTGGAGAAGTTACTCAACCTTTTTAAGCCTTATTTTTCTCATCTGTAAATAAAAATACCACCCACTGACAGGACTTTCTGAAGACCCCAAGCCAAACCAATTCCGCTGCCGATGAGTCGATTCTGACTCATAGCAACACTATAGGACAGAGCAGAACTGCCCCATAGGGTTCTCAAGGCTTTAAATCTTTACAAAAGTGGACTGCCACATCTTTCTCCTGTGGAGTGGCTGGTAGGTTCGAACCGCCAACCTTTTGGTTAGCAGCCGAGCGCTTTAACCACTGTGCCACCAGAGCTCCTTTCTGAAGATAAAATGAGTTAATTATATAAAGCATTTAACAGACGGTCTACCATAATAAGTGTATTAGTATCATTTACTAATCAGGATTTAAGTAGCAATTAGATAAAATTCTATGAATATAATTAGTATTATTTAGCACTGAAACATATCGGCTTTAAATTATTTTACCATGAGATGTAAATGGTAGAGCATCAATCAATACAAGCTCATCTGGGATTGCATAACTTGGAAGATGTTCCTGAAGTTCTTTAAAGATGTAATCCTTTACTAAATCTTCTCTGGACACTATGAACAGGATTAATTTTTCCTGATTATACCATGTAACTGCACAAGACTCCACTTGCTGAAGTTCTTCAGCAACCTATGAGACAGATTACCCCGATTTGCCAGTAAGGACATTTGAAAACAAACTTCTTAAATGCTCAGTCTTATCATGTCTGAAATCAATATAGTCAAATGAGATTTTGGAATATACAAGGCATTTAAAAAAAAGTTTGCTACAGTTACTAGCACACACGGTTACTAATATTTTTCAAAAACAATAGCTCCTAAAGCAAAATAAACCAATTTATTTTCACATTATGACAGTCCATTTTGTCACTCATTTAAAACACAATCTCTTCATGCTGGGAATAAGGGGCATACTGAATTATCCAAACCTTTTATTGTAATTTATTACTAATACAAAAATCTTAGGTTTAAATAATACTGATAGAGAACCCTGGCACAGAAAATTGGTGGTGGCTGCCTCTAATACCTAGATATATTAGTCGATATTTAATATGTAGTTTTTACCTGTTGCACAAGCTCAACATTAAGACGCTTGCCATGACGTTTGATCTGACTGTCCTTTCTTCCCAAGAAAAACATCTCTCCATCTTTCACAGTCACAAAGTCTCCTGTGGCTCGCATTGTGCCAAGTGGTACCGTCATTTCATCATCAAGAAAACATACTCGGTTTCTGCCACCTTCACAATATAAAAACATCAATGTAATAAAAAATCCATGAAAATATATAAAAAACCATCAAATCAAGAACATCTCTAAAAGTTCATATCTCTGACAGGAGACATCAAAACTAAGTTTTAAAATATGAATATTTATATTAAAAAGGGGAGCTCACTTTTAAATGCTATCTAATAAAATCTGGTACAATAACTAAGGCAAGTTAGTAAAGAGAAAACAAAATTTATTTCTACAAACATGTTTTTAAAAAAATTCTTAAATACAGTAAATAGAATTTTGGTTATTAAGTATAAAAGTCCAAGTTACAATTTCTAAACTACTTTCATATATTCCCTTTGAGTATCAGACATTGTTATCTGAAATAATTACAATCAATTATTATAATTACAATAACTTATTTTGTTTCATGACTATGAGGATGAGGTTAAAAATTATCATCCCTGAAGAGAATACTGGGCTTAAGTGGAATCAGGAAAAGAACAGAATTAACACATCAGATATTTTTTTCTTGGGAAAAAAAAAATCCCCACTCAACAAATGTAAAACAACCTAAAAATACTTGGCCATTGCCTTCTTGAATTGTGAAACCATTAGTGTCTCTGACTTCAACTACTGTTCCAAGCAGTGGAAATCCCAGTTGTACAGGCAATTCACATCTATGAAAAACACAATACAAACCAGATTTAAAATTTTTCCTTAAACAGAATATTTTTCTATGTATTTAAATCACATTGTACCAAATAAAGAAAAAAGAAGTTTTTGTTATGCTATAATTCAAAGACTACCAAGAGGAAGAGGTTAGATGGAAAGGCTGTCATATATTCTATTTATTCACTGCCGTTTAAGTCACAAGAAGTTCTAGCAGAATTTGCAGCACCAAGCCACCAGTTACAGTAAGTAAGGTTCTGGATTTCTAGCTTAAAATACTAGATAAAACAGTAGTTCTAAAATCATTACTCTATCAAAACACAGTTTTAAGGTCCCGGAAAGATACACTTTCTTTCAACTCTGTTTAGCGTAATTAAAATTCTTACTTCACAGTAGAGTTAAGAATCTCCTCTGGAATCCTGTAAACGGTCGCCCAACTTGATACCTCTGTGATACCGTAGATATTAAATATTTGTGTTTTATTGCCTTCTCCTCTCCAGTTTTTGAGAACAGTCAGTGATGGAAATGCTTCGCCACCAAGGGCTAACACTCGAAGAGAAGTACTGGCTGATAAAACAGTTGACTTGATAAGCTGAGAACCAAATCTTTTAAGCAATGTGGGTGTTGCCTGTAGAAACATTAAAAATAACTTCTTTCCCTTCACTTCTTTAAAAAGGTAAACACTGTAATTATTAGTGCAAAGCTTAGCATCTGGTGCCACCATGGAAATTAAGGCTGAGTCGATCAAACGGCAAATCATACTAGGAAAACTATTGGGGCAGCCGCACTATCTTCTTAATATGGATACTGATTTTGCTTTAGAAAAAAACTTTAGGAAAAATATTAGCTGTATTTGTTCCATAGTTTAAATAAAAGGGTTTAAAAATAAAAAGGACAAAATCCATAAAAGCAATTCACATTTCCTTTCCAATTAGCTCTACATAGAAAAAGTATATGAAAGGGTTAAAAAATGAGCCTAAGGGGGGAAAACATGAATAAAAATTCCTAAAAACAGCTTTACTGAGTATAAAAGACATACAATAAATTGCACATATTTAAACTGTATGTTTCAATAAGTTTTTGTATGTGTGTGTACCAGTGAAACCATCACTACAACAAAACAATGAACATATCCTTCACTTCCCAGAACTACCTTTTGTGCCCTTTTTTAATTGTTCCTTCAAATGGACTTCTCTCCAGACAACTACTGACCTATTTTCTGTCACCACAGATTACATTTTCTAGAGTTTTTACCAGTGGAATCATACAACATGTTTTGATCTGGCTTCTTTCACTCAACATAATTTTTAGTGATTTGCCCGCATTGTTGTGTGTATCAATACTTCAATCCCTTTACTGCTAAGTGGTATTCCACTGTATGGATCAGGACTGGCTTCATGGGGATGCAGCTTCTACACTTGCATGGGGCTTGGTTCTCAGAAGGGCTCCAACCCTGTTTTAATGTTCTGCTGTTACCATTTTGAAATTCTTAATAAATTCTGAACAAGTGCCCAGTATTTTCAAGTTGTACTCAGCCTCAGAAATTGTGTAGCTGGTCCTGGTATAGAAATACCATAATTTGTTTATCTATTAACCTGTTGATCAAGATATGAGTTGTTTCCAGTTTTGGGCTACTGTAAATAAAGCTTCCATCAAAATCTAAGCACAAGTCTTTGTACGGACATATACATATAAATACCTAGTAGTGGAATGGCTGGATCATATGGTAGGTATATATTTTTTAAATAGCTTTACTGAGGTATCATGTACAAACTGTAACATTCATCTATTATATGGGTGCAATTCAATGAAATTACAAAGTTGTACAACCATCATCATAATCCAATTTTAGAACATTTTCCCAAAAAGTTTCCATATGACCATTCAGTTAATCCCCATTCCTACCCCAAGCCCTAGGCAACCACTGATCTACTTCCTGTCTTAAACTTGCCTTTTTTTTTTTTAATATTTCATATAAATTGAACCAGACAATATGTAGTTTTTCCCATTTGGTTTCAATGTGCATGGTTTTTAGGCTCATACACGGGATAGCATGTATCAGGAGTTCCTTCTCTTTTATTGCATAATAGTGTTCTATTGTATGCATGCACCACATTTTGTTTATGCATTCAGAAAGGTGATGGTTAATTGTATTGTTTCCATTTTTGGCTATGATGAATAGTTTTGCTAAGGACATGTTAGCATATATGTCTTTGGACATATGTTTTCATTTCTCTTGGGTGGATTACTGAGGAATGTATTAGCTACGTTGTATGGCTGCACAGGAGCCATGGTGGTGCAGTGGTTAAGAGCCACAACTGCCTACCAAAAGGATGGCAGTTGGAATCCACCACCAAGTCTACTCCGTCCTATAGGGTACTATGAGTTGGAGTCAACTTGATGGCAACGAATTTGTTTTTTTTGTTGTTTTGTTTTGTTTTTATGGTGGTACAAACAGTTAAGGTACTTGGCTGCTAACAAAAAGACTGGAGGTTCCAGCCCACCCTAGAGGCATCTCGGGAGAAAGGCCTGACAATTTACTTCTGAAAAATCCACCACAGAAAACCCTATGTTGCAGAGTTCTACTCTGACACACATGGGATCATGGTGTATATCTTATTTTTAAGCAAATATCGCTCATGTTCTGTTTGTTTTGTCAATCGCTGCCTCGTCCGCAAGGTATTTTCCTAAGTGCGCTATGCTACTTTTTTTTACAGCAACATGTAAAAAACAACTGGCATATTGGCACTTATGAAAATACTTCACCAGAGGGAGCAGCTGGCAAACATAGGAGGTGCATAGCATTTGTGTATAAATACGGTAATCCTTTTTATATGTTTCGAGATTTAGTTTGCTAATATTTTGTTAAGGATGTTTACATCTATTCTCATGAGAGATCTTATGTATAGTTTTCTTGTAATGTCTTTGTCTAGATTTGGTAACAGGGTGATAAAAGCTTCATAGACTATTTTGGGAAATGTTCCCTCCTCTTCTATTTTTTGTTTGTGAAGTATTGGTATTATTTCTTTTTTTAATATATGATAGCATTTACCAAGGAAGCCATCTGGCCCTGGGCTTCACGGGACAATTATTAAATCTCTATACTTGTGTAAGTGTATTCAGATTTTCTATTTCTGTAAAAAAATGGCATGGTGGGGGGGTGTCTGACCTCCTCTAGCTTCACGAGGTGGGGAGAGAGAACCACCATTACCATCAACAGGCCGAGGATGAATGCTATGAGGTGGAGGTCAGACATCCCTCCACCCTCCAACCTTTTTAACCAATTCTCACACCAGCCATCCCTCCCACAGCACTCTACTTCTCTGCTGCGTTTGATAATTCGTTGAATGGCCACACAGAACTCACAAACCGTACTTACAGTTACAGGGTTTATTAGGGAAGTAACAGGTTACAGGAGTCCTGGGGGCGTGGCTAAGAGCTATAGCTGCTAACCAAAAGGTTGGCAGTTTGAATCTAGCAGCCACTCCTTGGAAACCCTATGGGGCAGTTCTACTCTGTCCTATACGGTCACTATGAATCAGAATCGACTTGACAACAACGGGTTTGGTTTTGGTTAACAGGTTACAACGCAGGATACAATTCTTTGATCAGGACAGCTTCTTCTCAGCCATTCCCACAGACAGGCCTCTCAGCCTCACCTCTGCCCTGCTTAGACAAGTGTTATAAAAGCTCCTAGCTCCACCGGCTGGCAAGCCCCACCGCAGCTGTCTCATGCCAATCTCTGCCGGTCTCCTGGTTCCTGCTGCTCGCACTGCTATTGCTCTTGCTACTGCTGTGTTACAGTTCCCTCCCCATTGTCTTCCTTTAAGCCTAACATGATGGCAAAACTAACCAATCCCCTAGTTAGGGTTCCATATACCTTATTTGCATGGTCCTACCCCCCACAAGGATGACATGCACCTTATTTGCATTATTAGCACTGTCCAATCCTCTTGGTGGGCCACAGGCACCTTATTTGCATAGTTCCACCCAATCATTTGGTGGGAGTTATAAGACCACAGTGAGAGAAATGCCATATAAGAGCAACCCATCACACTGCAATTTCCAACTGAATTCATTCTGGTAATCTGTATCTTTTAGGAATTTGTCCATTTTATCTAAGTTGTCTAAATTGTTCGCAGAAAGTTGTTCATAGTAATGTTTTTAATTTCTGCAGGGTCAGTAGTGATGTCCCCTATTTCATGCCTGATTTTGTGTCTTCTCTCTTTTTTTCTTGATCAGGCTAGCCAAAGGATTGTTAATTTTGCTGATCTTTTCAAAGAAGCAACTTTTGTTTTATTTTCTCTATTCTTTTCTGTTTTCTATTTTATTAATTTCTACTGTAATCACTATTACCCCCTTTCTTCTGCTCGCTTTGGACTTATCTTCTTTTTCTAGTTTCATAAAAGCTTAGGTTATTAATTTGAGACTTCTTTCTTTCTGATATAAGTACTTAATACTACAAATTTCTCTAAGTACTACTTTAACTGCATCCTATAAATATCGATAAATTGTGTTTTTGTTTTATTTCAATCAAAATATTTTCTAACTTTCCCAGTGACTTCTTTTTTAATCTATGGGTTATTTAGATACATGTTGTTTAATTTCCATATATTTATGGATTTCCAAATATCTTCTGTTATGAACTGTTCTAACAAAAAAATGTGTGTCAACCTGGCTAGTCCATGATTCCCAGTACTGCATGATGTCCCACCATTTTGCCATCTGACGTGAATTTCCTATGTGTTGTAGATCCTGCGTCTATGATGTTAATGAGGCAAAATTAGAGGCAGTTATGTTAATGAGGCAGGACTCAATCTACAAGATTAGGTTGTATCTTGAGTCACTCTCTTTTGAGATATAAAAGAGAGAAGCGAGCACAGAGACATGAGGACCTTGTATCACCAAGAAACTACTGCCAGAAGAATAGCGCATTCTTTGGACCCGGGATCCCTGTGCTGAGAAGTTCCTAGACCAGGGGAAGATTGACAACAAGGACCTTCTCCCAGAGCCAACAGAGAGAGAAAGCCTTCCCCTGAAGCTGACACCCTGAATTAGGACTTCTAGCCTCCTAGACTGTGAGAATATATTTTTCTCTGTTGAAGGCATCCACTTGTGGTATTTCTGTTATAGCAGCACTAGATAACTAAGACATCTTCCTATTTTTTATTCTAATTTAAATCTGTTAAGGTTGAAACACATATTTTGTATTTCATTTTAGTTATTTTAAATTTACCAAGACTTGTTTTATGGTCTAGTATATATGATCTATCCTAAGAATGTACTATGTCTGCTTGAAAAGAACGTATATTCTGCATTCATTGGATATAGTGCTCTATATATGTACAACCAAATGACATATATGTCTATATTCTTGCTGATTTCTCTTTAGTTGTTCAGTCATTGAAAGTGGGATATTAAATTCTCCAGCTATTATTCTGAATTGTCAATTTCTCCTTTCAATTCTATCCATATTTGCTTCATGTGTTTGGAAGCTCTATTTTTAGGTGTGTATGTTTATGGAGTTGGTGGTGGTTCAGTACTAGAATTTTCACCTTCCATGCAGGAGACTCAGGTTGGATTCCCAGCCAATGTACCTCAAGTGGAGCCACCACTCGTCTGTCAATG